TATATTTTTTGTTTATATTTTAATTTCGCGTTTTTAACTGAATATTGTCGCGTTTGTCTTCGTTGCGTTTTCATATTCTCTTTTTTAGTTCAATGCAAATGTATGCAAATAGAGAGTAAAAACATTTTAATAGATTCGTTTTATAATAGAAAATCGTCGTCAATTTTGTTAAGACTGCGAGGCAAAGCAAAGCAAAGTAATTTTTTTTTTTTAACTTCAGTTTAATAAATCTTTAGCGTTGACCCAAATGCAATTTTTGTGTTTTTTTATTTGATTGCATTTAATTTAGAAAATTTTTGCATTTAATTCAAAGTCTATGACAAAATCGTTTTAGCACACGTTGAATATGCTTGTATGTGATGCTTAACTGCGGACATGGATTTTATATGCTTGTAATTTTCTATGGATTGGTAGAAGCAACTGGTGCCGAAAAATGATTTTAAATCACGCAACCCTGGTTTGAAATAGGAGAAACGGTAGCAAAAATACGGGATGACGATGTAATAGTCGACTACCCGAGTGTCTGGTTTCAACGACTAACAGGGCTAAACGAGTTATAAAAGTTAAGGGCGGCAGTGCAAAGTAAACATGTACATATCAATTGCTAAATTAGAGAAAAAGTGTCGCAAAAATTCAAGTAGATTTATTTCTTGAAAAATGAATTTTGAAATGGTATAAAGGCTTTATTATTATGCTAAAGTTAGCAACTTCGATAAAATGTAAAACATGTAGAAAATACTTTTTTATGGTGCAAATGCTTGGTAAATGATATCGAAGAGAAAATTTAATTAAATTTGAAAAACTTTACATTACGGTGGTCCAAAAAAAGGTAAAGCCGGAATTTTAATACTCTCACCCCCTCACCTTGTTCTATACCAAAAAAATATACCCGTTTCTTTCTTTTGAAATTAAAAAAATATTTACATGTCGCTCAATGCGCGCAAAGTTTTCCGTATGTTTTATATTGGCAAAAACAATTTTTCGTAGAAATGGTATAGAATTCTTGAAAATCAATATTTTTCGATCCCACGCGTTTATTGAACCATTTTTTAATATTAACTGTTTTCTATAGATCCCCTAAAAACCAAAAAAAAAATTAAATGGAGGGACCCATAAAAAATAAAATCGCTAGTATAAAAAAGGTAAAATTATCAATTTGGTATTATTCTTGGAAATCTAATGAAGAGAAACAGAGTCTTCTAATCGAAAAATATTGAGTTTAAAGAATTCTATACCATTTCCACGAAAAATGTTTTTTCCCCATATAAAATATATGGACAACTTTCGAGTGCTTTGAGCATAAATATTTTTCGATTATTAAATAAAAAGACAGGGACATATTTTTTCGATATAGAACAATCCCAGTGGGTGAGAGCATTTAAATTCGGGCTTTACTTTTTTTCTCATGCATTTTTGGACCACCCTAGTATACATACAGGCATATGTACGATCTATAAATTTACAGCCTTCTTTCTGATTACATTCTTCTACATTCTTTATTAGACGCAAAAAGTCGGCTTGGAATAAAATAACAATTTCTAGCGCAACAAAATTTAACGGCTGGAAAAAAATTTAACTTAAGGTCAAATGTTAGGCCGATCGTATCTTTCGGTGCAATCATTATTGTCCTCCCAATTCGTATGCATACATACAAACATATGTAGAAACATACAGCCAAATTTTTAAATGCTTACAAAATTCTCAAATAATCTCTACGATGAAAGCCACTCAAGGCGAAAGCATGCTATAAAGCCGGAAAAGGATACATAGCCACCAAACAAGGTGAATGCGAGTGTTTGTTATGAGAATAAAGGAATAAATATTGATCACAAATAAAACTGATTGCAGCTGCTTCCTATTTTGCTTTGCCGCGTAAAAACGATTTGTTGTTCTTTGTTCAACGCGCAAACCATCATAAAATATACAGAATTTGCCGTGCAGTTGTCAACAAAATATAGCAAGATTTTGCTATTACTTTGGAGGAATAAATTATATAATAATAATGAAAAACAACAATTACATACATACGTATATATGTAGAATAAAAAAAGAATATTTCGGCAAAATCATAGCGAAAATTTCACGCTTAGCAAAAAAATATATACATTCCTAGATATTTATGTATGTACGTGTGCATGTACAACCAAATGACTTCATATCAAAACTGAAAGGTTAATCAACTGCACCAAAAGTGTTAAATAAATTTAATTAGCACACATCGCGTGATAAGTAAGTAATTTACAACAAAAAATAGATAATTCTTAAAAAAAAAATACAAAAAATAATCGCAAATTTTTATAAATTGCACTCGTTATATGGTGCAAGCAACAAAAGACCACCGCAAAAAAAAAATACAAAATATCAACGCACATTTTAGATACTTCAAATTTGCGCGTTATTATATTAAAATTTCAAGCGCTATAAAATTGGAGCAAAAACAACATTTGCGTGTATGTATGTACACATTTTGTTGTTGCTTCGCGTCTCTACGAGTGTCAAAAAAATATTCCGCTGTTTTTAAATATTATAGTGAGCCATTTGAAATACAAATTTTCTCTTTCGAGAAGCATCGGTCCATCCTTTGCAAGGTCCAATAAGCATTGTGCTACTGAGTTAAGCGAACATTCCAAAAGCTGGTTTTCTTTTTATGAAAAAAAAAAACCTTCAGATGTAAATACTTTTTGACACTTTGGATTTTTTTTAAATTATATATGGGTGTTTCCATCGGAAGGTCCACCACGACAAAAATAAATAAAAGTCTTATATCTAACGTATTTACGGGCCGATTTGTCTGCTTTTTAAAATATATACTAGCTATATAAGTAGAATCATGTTTGCGTAAAATGGTCTTCCTAGGTGGCGCCAAGGTCGAGATATTTCGAAAAACCGTATTTATGGTCCGATTTGGTTCGAATTTGGCGTATGTAGTTGAAACATAATAAATCATAGACTTCCAAAAAATTTACCCTGAATTTGCGCTAAAGTCAAAATATAAAGTATATTCGACATAAAATACATGTTTTATTTGCGTTAAAAATTCATTTAAAAGTAATATTAACAAAAATATAACGATGGAAATTTATGTCACGTGACGCCACGATCCCTGAGAGCACAGCGTTTGTTCAGAAGTGCGAGCGAAACTACTTCCATCTTGGCCTCGCGAAGGTTGGACAGTCTAAAAGAAAGTGTGAAGATGATTCCACTTCATCTTCCTCTTGACAGCTGATACAAAAGGATCAGTCGAAATTCCTAGTCTCACCGCATGAACACTAATCGCGCAATAGCCGGTCAGAACCCCCATCACTAGCCCTTGAGTGGTAACGTATTTTAAAGTGTCCTATAAAAACATTTGCTGCAGCAGAGAAACGTCTTCTTTTCCTTTTTTATGCCACAAAAGGACCCGGTTTCCCTTAGCCTAATAGCAGTTCGTGCTGCGACAATTCTGCCTGCAATATCCACAGAAAATCCCTAGGGGAAATATGAGAGCCTTTTCCAACCTTCGGGATGAACGCAAAACTGACTACCCTCAAAGCCTTGGGGATGTACTCGGTCCTCACGCAGTTCGCATAAATAGGATTGTAACGATCGTCCAGAAGATCGGAGAAGTACAGGACCTGGGGGAAGATTCTGTAATCAGTTAGCGACAATTTTAGAATCGCTATCGCACTTTTTGACGCAAAAACATTTATATCATGCGTCAAAAGGTGCGGTAGCGATCAGAAAATTGTCGATAACTGGTTACAGAATCTCCCTGTTGATGTACAAACTATCGCAAAGAAGTACATTTGACTGTACTTCGAAGTACAAAACCGAAAAAAGAAGTACTGTACTTCCGAAAGAAGTACGGTTGGTCACATTATGAATAACCCCCAATGTATGTATATGAGATTTTGCGTCTGCTATTTCAACCACTTTGACGGCCGCTGTGGTGTAGTGGTTAGCAGCGCGTGTTACCATTCCGCAGGGCCTGGGTTCAATCCCGGTTCAACCCAACATCAAAAAATAAATGAATAAAAGTTGTTTTGTAATAGCGGTCGCCCCTCGACAGTCAACAGCAAACTTCCAAGTGTATTTCTGCAGTGAAAAAGTTTCTCATAAAAATACAATCACCGCTTGGAGTCGGCGTAAAACTGTAGGTCCCTCTCCTTTGTGTTGCAACATCAAGGGCGCATCGGAGAAGAAGCTCGGCTAAACACTAACATATGTATGTGCGCTAATCTATTTCAACTACTTTGGCTTTCTTTATTCAGTTTGATAGTTCTTCGATGCTTTTATTATATTCTTTATTTCCTCTGCTTTATTTTGGCTTATTCTATTCTCTTTTGCTTTGACAACTGAACTCGGAAACTTTCTGATTAAACTTAGGGATGGCAATGATTTGGTGGTAATTTTCATGGTAATTGTTTCTGAATAACATCTAAATAAGATAAACCAAAACTTTGTATGGAGAATTAAGTAATTTGGTTCGTAAATGTTTAGCCATTACGTATTACAAATAAAGCTGCCGTAGGAATGCACTTTTAAAAAGTTATGCTGATTCGGAATACATAATTTTAAACATGATTAAATAAGCAAAAAATTAGGTGTTGAAAAATGTAAATAAAACATTTAGCATTTCTTCGCTTTCTCTCTCAATTCACCATCACCGTTAAGTACTGATTTCTTAAGAGAATTTCATAATATTCAGCAATCATTTGCTATGGACAATGGTTTTTAATTTTCGGCATAGCTGCACTTTTTACTAAAGTGCACCAAATTATATGCAGCTAACCGAAGACCGCATTATAGGTAATACAATTTGTCATATTTGCTATTCCCCATAGTGCAATACGAATGCAATTGATTATAATATTTCATTTTATCAGTTGTAGTCAAGTGAAAAGATCTTTAAAAAATACATTTCAGTCCCCAAACAAAATTGTGCATAAATCATTTGGGCCAACAACAAATTCGCAACACTAAATAATGCCAATAGAATTTTGTAAATATAGAATGTTTACCTCTTCGATCAGCTCCGTTTGACTAATAAAGGGACTCAAATCCACTTCCTCACTTTCAGTTTGCTCACCATCGTCGCCACTGGCTTCCGGTTCCTTCTTTATCGCCAGCACAGTGGACGCCAAAGTTGAACTGCTGGAGCTAGAGCTAGCGACTTCATTTTCCAGCGCAATTTCCTCTTCTTCTTCCTTATCGAACTGCTCAGTTTTAATGCTGGCAATATCTGCTGGTTCTGGATAGGTGTCATTCAAAGCACCAGCACTAATTGTCTCATCTTCTTTTTTTACCGCATTAGCCGCTGCAGTTGCAGCGCTTGCAATGGTCGGAAGAAATGCATCCAAATTCAAGTCAATATAAGTATTATTGTACGGTTCATCCTTGAGCGGCAAGCCGGCATATGGATTGTTAATGGCAAGATCTCCAAAGTCCCGCAAATCAGCTAAATTTTGCTCCCATACCGAACGCTGATCTTGAAAGTTATCCGAATTCAGAAACACATCCAGCTCCGAAGCCGGCAGTCCCATGTTAGTGGCGTTCGTGCTGGCCGCAGCAGCTGCCGCTGCAGCATTGGCTGCCTGCTCTAGCGCAGTGGCTCCTGCCACATTCACGCTTCCGCCGGCATTAGCCGCACTACTCGCAGTTGTTTGCAACTCCGGCAAAGTGGCCGTTTGATTTGTGCCACCATCGTTCTGCACGTTTAAAATATAAGCTGTGACATTATATTGCGGCAGCGTGGCATCGTGTTGTCGATCGTAGCGTATTAGATCCTCTATGAGCGGCATCATGGTCTTACGATTAGCGTAAGGATACTCCACCATTGGTACTGCGCGCAACATTTCCAGCTCCCAACCGTCGCCATCGCGCAACTCCAGCTGTGAGTCCCAATTTCGTAAGCGCTGCTGTAGATAATTATCCGGATCCACATGCAGCAGACTCAAGGCCAATGCTATTTGCAGCATTTTCATAGCGTACGATTTCTTGTTGCAGATCATTTTGTGCCGTTTGGAAAATCTGCAATTCCAGTTATTCAAATTATGAGTTCTAAGTACTATGCGCGTGTCACTCCTGCGCCCGCATATAGCCCGCACCCCTCAACCCCCGTTGACAGCTAAGTGTCAGTTATTAACAGCGACAGTTAGCCTTCAATGACGACGACGTCGCTGCCGTTGATGCAGCCGAAGCTGCGATCGCCTTGAGTTTGAGGTTACTTTGTGCGTTGGTGTTTTGGTTTTTCTCGTTTGATTTAGTTTTATTTTGCTTTCTGGCGAGAATGAAATATTTATTATTTTACGCTCTTAGTTGTTTGTTCAAGTCTTTCCCGATTCGTTTGTCGCAGCTTTTAATTGTTTCTGAATATTACTGCAGTTGTTTCTCTATTGAGGAATGCTTTTAGATCAACGCGCCTGTTCTGTTGTTCGTCCCACACAGTCGAACTCTGGCAGAATATTCTGAAACGAATCAGAGGAAATCATTTAAATACGCTAATTGTATGTAGTAGATATTCACATGATTAAGATGTAAATGAAAATAATTTCTTTGCAAATGCAATGCAGTATGATGTGTGAAGGATGTTTTAATGTTCTTACAAATGATGTGATTTATGAGACATAATTCTGGTTGATTAATTGAGTTATGGTATACCTAATTGAGTGAGTGTAAAAGTGTCCCGTCCTCTGCGCAAAAAATGATCACTTGGATGCCTAAGTATGTAAATATGTATAGGGCATAGTTAAGGACTTTAATAGAATTGAATATTGGAGTGACTTCAGAATGGTGTGAAATAAAATACCACAGATTCGGTGTCATTATTCCTAGTTTATGTACTTAAATTTTTATACTTATATTATTATTCTGGAAAGGTGGGTAGAATGTGACGACCTGAACTATCACGAAGCTATATAAGATAGACAATAGAAGTCTAAATTTGGGGGGTTATTCTGGTCTCTAAATTTTCATGGAAATATTTCTAGATATTCCACCATTCCACCTATTTCTAACTGGATGAAAAGTGCTTCATTTAAAAGCGTACTCAAACTGTGGAGTTCTACAACGTGGCAAACAATGGACAAGTGATATGTTTCCAATCTGGACCGAGTCGGATGGGAGTAAAAAAGTTATAATTATAAGACCATTGAGCGCAACTTCGAAACTCACTTTCCCGACAGGAGTACTGGGAACTTCATATCTGTCTGAGAGAAGACCATATTCCGTTCTTGACAGATGTCTACAAAATGGACGTGGCAACCGGACTTGGCGTTTACCCTCAGAAGCTATCTTTGGTAGAGGCGTAGAGACTCCAATATTACTGCATCTATTCCATGCTGAGTTGTATATATGCAATTGACTGTAGGAAAAGGGAGGTGAAGATGGCAAGCATGACCGACATAGCTCCATCAAAACTCGTTCTTCATTGTCAAGGCGCTTACCCCGGTAAGGATTGTCTGGATAGGCGTTTGAGAATTATGAAGATCCCCACAATATCTCGCTTTCACATAGTCAATCTCCACTGAAAAACACCAAAAATATCAGGGAACTTTTAAACAACGTAAGGACATGTAGGTCTGTTGAAATTTTCTCCTGGGAAACAAAATTGGCGTATGCCAATTTCAAGTGAACTTTTAGTTAGAACTATCCCAACTTAACCTAGAATATTTGGTAATCTGTGCCCGTAATAGCAAGGTGCACCTTACCAAACTCTATTGGAGAACGCTATGACAGCTTCTATTTTAAAACAGCCTTATTTCCACACAGTTGAAACACTAAATTCCTGGTTCGTTTTGTAAAATTATAACGAGTATTGCATATTCAATTAACTCATTGGCTAGGGTTTTCCGCCTATGATTCTGTTGAAAACAGTCTTAGGTTAGTGCCGAGTTAACTTTCGTTTGGCAGCTACATAACTGTCGATTTTATGAAAGATAGCCTATCTACCCGTTTCATATATGTAAATATATGTAATATGTAATTTCAAAAAAAAATTTACAATTTAATGTTCCAAGCATTAAGAAACGCAGAAACGTTTGAGATCTGTCAAGGATTATAGATAAAACTTTTACAAGACTTTGGCATAGGTAGTATTCAGTAGACTGCTGTTTGGATGGTAATGTATTGAAGTAATTGGACCAAGCTTTGTCGAAATCGATAAATCGGTTAGCGATATACATTGAATTATGTGAAATATACCGCTATATGATAAGTGGGCGTTATTTTAGTCCGATTTCAAAAATATTCAACATATTGCTTTTTTGCGCCAGTTATTATTAGTATTATTAGTTATTATATACCAAGTTTTGCAGAAATTGATAAACCGGTTACCGATAAACACATACATATGTATGTCGGTTTCCAAAAATTGTCTCTAGTAGATATCACTTTTTGATAAGAGGTCATTGCCTATATAAATTTTGAGTGATTTAGCTTAAGTAGTTACTAATTTATCGAAGGTCCTTGCCTGATTTCAAAAATTTTCAACGGATTTCTTAGTGAGATTCTAAGCAATGTTCGCACTGATTTTGGTGGGGTTTGATAAAGGGACTAGAGAGCTGCAGCATCCCATCATAATTTCCCAAACATTTCATAACTTTCTTATTTTATGCCAAAATAATAATAAAAAATAAAATTATACCAGGTAAAAGGCTATAATTGACAAACTCGAATTTTATAGAAGCTAATAAAAAAACATTTCCGGCAACATGTCAAATACATATGTATACAACGTAATAAAATCTTGTTTTCGAGGTAAGAAGGGAATGAAAATCCTGTGATAGAGATACCACATATGTCAGTCGAAAACCGCGACACTTTGTCGAAACTGATTTTCCATAGTTGAGGAAGAAGATCTACACACATACATAACTTATGTTTAATTACCCAGGTTAAAAAAAAAGTTTCTGCATATTAAACCAACCCTCTATATCCCTATGTTATTCGACGTCCCGAATGCGAGGTCTATTAGCCTCCGTCAGGTTCGATGTAATTGGAATGTCAGGTAAGGAAAAATTCATTGAATAAACCTGAAAATTCAATACAATTCTTCTGATTTAGACCATGGGATGACCTTGGCATGACATCAAGATGGCCTTGAAGAATCAAGGGAGCCCCATATTCGGATTTAGCGACAACAAAAACAAAAACATTTATTTTTTATTTTTATTGAATAAATTTTTTTGTCGTATTTGACCCTCAAATGACCTCGAACCTGACATGTTTTTTGGGGTCAGCGAATCGATTATTTTTATATGATAGAAACCCGGAACTCCTTCGGCGAAAAACAATCTAAAAAATCAACGGTAATTTTTAGCCACTTAAAACTTGCACAGTTTTAGATTAAAATTGAAAGGGCTATAAAACTGTATACTCAAAAAAAGCTCTAACACTTCTGAGAATGAAGTCTGAAGTTTGGGTGCAAATTTGTTGAATTTTTGTGTAATTTTCTACAAAGATTTCAACTTAGGTTTGTATAATATATATATATTATATATAAATTTTAAATTGAAACTTGTTAAAAAGAAATAAATAAACATGAGTGGCAAATAATATCACTTTGAAATGAGGATGCTATTCATATGACCGATACTGTTACCTTAATTCACAAAGGCCCTAACCAACACTTTTTTCGAAACTGCGTTTTCACAGATTTTGGGTAGGAGGTATTGTTAAAGCACACCTTCAATAAAAATTTTTAAGTTTTAGTACCAAAAACCACGAAGTTATATGCCAGTTTTTAAAAAGCCCTGGTTTTGATTCTATTTAAACGTGTTTTTTGCTTCTCCTGTAAAATAAAAAATTTGTTGTTTACGGCCTTTGTGAATTAAGGTAACTATATATGTATGGGTATACATAATTGCATTACATTTTCTGGAAAAAGTTTACATACATACATATTTTGATTTTTATCTAGAGCCAAATTTTAATAAAATTCATTTCTCAATAATTCATGCTACCAGCAAAATAATACTAATTCGGTGCGCTAAAAAAAATTTGATGCAAATGAGTTTTCTGTAGCCAAATTACTTACTTTGGAAAATACTATAAATTGCTATATTTATGAAAAACATGTAATTTTTGCGAATGCATGCGAAAAAATATCAAGGTCATTTTGATCACCGATTCAAGGATTATTTAATTGAGCAATTATTTTTGAAAAATAAAATTTTTCTTGCGAAAAAACATTTCTGTGAATACAAGCTAATTTGTTCAGTATCTGCGCATATGACACACTTTTTCGTTTGCATTTCATTCAGAGAAAGATTCGGAAAATTAATGAAGTGGATGGAATATCAACAAAAGGAAAAATACATACATAAGTATCGTTCATTTACTAAAAGACTGTCATAACTAAAAAACGACTTTTTTGAGTAAATCGTACATAATTGCTTGATACTTATATCAAGTAACACGCTTCATATTGTGTGTTTCTACATTTAAGTAGGGATCAAATTTAGAACTGTAAGCGCGTTCTAAAGAAAAATCTCGTTTTTAGAGTAGTGACCGTCTTTTAGTTAATGAACGATTATATGTTTGTGTGTATATATTTTGTTGTTACTTTCTACCTTTCATTCATTAAAAAAGAAAACTTCTACAATAGCAATGATGCGAGCATAAAAAGTAAATCGATGACTGCCAATAAATCAGAGATGAGATGAGTTTGAATGTTTTTAGTGGGCGGTGAAGTATAATACATACCTACATATATAACGTTATCGTATATACAGTATGGCACAAAAGTAAGTTTCTAGACAAAAAAAAAACCTGGTGTGAATATTTTTTGTCAGCCAAAATTCTAATTTGCAATTCCTTCTTTCTGTGGAAAAGAGATTTGTAGCCGCGACCTATCATTGTCCATAAGAACATCAAACCTCTCCTTCCTTTCTATTCATTTTATAACGTATGCTACTCCCGAATTAGTTACATGGTTTTGCGCTTGAAAAATTGACATTTTGAAAGCTTACTCTTAGAATGAATACTGAGTTGCTGAAGTAGTGAAATAATAAAAAAAAAAGTTTTACAATCTTGAAATAAGTGCCTCTGGTGGTTTTAGTTGGGTTATACTGATACTGAGTTGGCGGTTAATCTTACGTAGACAATTCGGACAAGATTCGGGTAATTAGACACAAGTTTTCATGCTTTTTCTAAAATTGGGGCCTAAATCATC